GGCCGGCAACCTAAAACTTCGAGCCCAAGGCCCGAGGTGTGAAAACGACCACGGATTATTAAAGCCAACACTATAACACTTTGATATGGTGCTTGTCCGATTTTTTCCATCAACTATTCTACTCACAACAGACAATTCAATTTAAAAAAAAATATGTAATTGATTAACAAAGTCTCCTGTCAAGGACGGCGATCCGTAAAAATCTTAGCTTTTCTACGATTCATTAGGATCCATTAGATTCATTGACATCATACTTCAGATACAATTTTATATTATAATCTCTCCTTAAGCACGGTCAAAAGCCATCAAATATCTACTTTAATGGGTAGAATGACTATTCGATGTTTAAATAGTCTTAAAACTAAACGGTTTTCGCTTAGCATCTCCCAAATTTTAAATTTGGCGGGCGAATCTACCTGCTGGAAGGTTCACCACACGCCCGCCAAGGGCGCCATCTCCTTACCGCGTATCCCCGTAATTCAAAGCGAAAACAATAGAGAGCGCCCATCTCCTTGCTGCTGTCGACAAACGCACTACGCAGCCAAACGTCAACAAACATAACAATTATAACCTCCTTTATTAACAAACATTAAATCAGTCATATTTGTGCCGTATTATTATTATTATATTGTATTTGTGCTTAGTACCTCGTAAAAAGGAACCGCGAAAGATGGAATCTGCCGGGATTCTAAATTCATTAACAACAAACATATTAGTTTTTAATAAAGATCTAAGTGTCAGTTCTTGCGTTAGCTTGATGACTCAATGTAAGTACATACCTAATTAGTTGTCTAATTTTGCTTTGTGTATACCTACGGAGTAATTTTGGAAATAGTATATGATGCATTATATAATGCATTTGAATTCCTAGGTTTCACCTGACTCAAAGCGTTTGCTGCTATTATCTAGAAGCGTTCCGACTCATTTATCAGAGAATTGAGCGTCTCCTATCGGCCCCTCTGCAATTATGAAATTAGTCCAAGAATCCTTTAGGAACTTAAATTAATGACTCAGATGGTGCTTTTGAGCCAACTTTCAAATAATTAAAGGCATTTTTTTCAAAATCTACAGTCCATGAGCTCTCCGTGTGACCGAAGTGCTCTCCTCGCTGTATGATGCGTAACCCTTCAATTTTTAGTTTAGTACAAAGACCTCATAGGAACTTACATTATTGAACCAGGTGGTGCTCTTATGCCAACTTTCGAAGAAATGAAAGGCATTTTTTTTCAAATTTACAGTCTTTGAAAATGAGTTGTTCATGTAATGTCGCGGAGCAAAGTGCCCTACTTTTGGGCCTCGTAATCCCTTGAATTTTGAGTTTAGTCCAAAGATCTTTTAGGATCTTAAATTAATGACCCAGGTGATGTGCTTGATGCCCAATTTTAAAGAATTAAAGGCATTTTTTAAAATTTACAGTCCCTCAAAATGAGCTTTCCGTGTGATTTTGCTAAAAATGGACAATTGAGCGTAGCCCCCCCCAAATTTTAGCGTACCTCAAAATCGTTGGACGTGCATAAGGAGACCATAGATATGGTGTCCTGTGCCAATTTTGAATGAAATCGAACAGATAGATTCTGAGATATCGCTGTAGACAGATTTGGGGGACGCCACACGGACGGACACACATTTTTTCAAGTATGGTTATTTTTACTCCTGGGACCTTAAAACGTCTAGAAATGATGAAATTTCAACTTTTTTTTTTTTTTTTTTCTTGGAGGATGACAATACTTCCTCTCTACCCTATGGGAGCGAGAAAGTAAAAATCGATCTTTTTTTCATGAAAAGTGAACTTTCCTCATAATTCCGTGGAAACAGGTCCGATCTGCACAAAACTTCGTCAACAAGTGAAACTCAACGTTGCCAACAACGAACACCCGGTGTCATCACAAATTCAAACAAAGCGAGCGAAAAAAGTGCGGTGCGTACCTACTTTTGCCCCGTGCGTACTCTTACCCCCACCTACCCTATATATGGGTAAGAGCTGTTACGTACGTCAATGTAAGAGTTGTACCCCACTTTCTGGAACCTTAGGCGTGGCAATTAATTAAATTTTGGCCATTTTTGGGTCTTTGAAACGATTTTTCTTCAGAATTTGGCAACGTAGGAAAAACTTTCACGAACATTTTTTATTTATTTTTTTGCGATCTTCTCAATAACTATACGGTTCTCAATTGAATTTCAGTTCTGCGTGAGTAAATTTGAAAAAAAAAAAACCTAAACATGACAACAATGGCCCGTAAGGCCCCTCAAAATCTATCGGAGGCCTTTTTAAAGGCCAGAAACGGAAAGTACGCAAAAAATACATGGGAATCTGCTACTGGAAGAGTGATAACAGTCGAAAAAGTCGACGAAAATAACTGTTTTTGGATGCCAGGATTTTGAGTTTGAGGCGTTCCTGCGTCTTAGCATGGGCTCCGTTAAATATTTGGCATAAAGTCTACCTAGGACTGGTACTTTGAAAATATGAGGTAGGAATTCAGTAAAATTCAGGTGAGGCCGGAAAAGGCCCAAAACGATACTCCTCCTTTTAGAGGAGAAAAAACTTCTGCTCTCCTAACGTGCGCAGGTAGGAGAAGAACGAGAGAAAATAACCGATTTTGTACTGTTTTCTCTATTTGGGGGGGTTTTCAGGGGGTTCCTATTTTGTCGAGGGGGCAAATTTGGATTCTCATTCGGGACCCTCTAAAGATGAATAATTTCACCCTACTCCATATAATCCCAAAGAAGCGATCTAAAAGCATGCGAAAACGTCCGACGTCCATTATTTTTCTTCTCCCGCCGTCACGTTACTTTCATTTAAAGCCTCGAAGAAGAACGAAATATTTTTTTTTGTGTCACTGAAAGGCTGACACAATGTTTTACGCTAATTTGAAGGGTCAGAAATAATAATTTTGGGGCAGATTTTTGCAACTCATACGAAAACGTCCGATGTCCAACGCCCTTTTTTCAAATTTCTCAGCACGAGGTGGGAGTTGGGAAGGGAAACAGTTGTGTGACACATGCTTCAAATTTCTTCAAAATGCCGATTCTAAAGGTCTCCACAGTTCTTTGCAGTTTACCAAAAGTTGATTTTTTGGACATCGGGCATTTTTGCTTACGTCGATTGAATTATTTAATCCTACAACGGAGATAACAGCATTTCTTTATTTTTTTTTCACTTTTAATACCGTTAGGGGACTACACAAGTTGAAATTCTTTAAAACATTATTTAAAAACACAAAGATAAAACACACTCACTTGCGTAAAATTGTATAAAATAATAACCGGGACGCGTTTCGGGAGCTTAGCTCCCATCCTCAGCCGCGACTGAAGGTGTTTGTTTACCTCGCAGCTCATTCCGCCAATTTGCCGGGTTGTCATGTTTGTCGTCGATAAATTTGAACAACACATTCGTGGCGCCCGACTCGTCAAAATTGAAATTGTTGTTCCGCTTTTTGTAAATGAAAATATTCTCCCATACATCTAACAGTTTTTGCTCCTTTACTTCCTTGAGGAGCCTAGGTTCAAAATTAATATTGTGTCCTGTGGACCAAAAATGGTGTGCCACCGCCGAGCGTGTGATTTCTCTGTTTTTCATATTCCTCACATGCTCTTGGCCCCTGATTTTCAATGATCTTTTCGTTTGGCCCACGTAACATTTGTGGCAAGTGTTACAGTTGATTTCATATATCCCAGGTTTTGCAGAGTCATCTTTTTCTGTTGTTTCTATTTTCTTGCTAAATCTGTTCATTATATTGTGATTGTTTGTGAAGCTTAGCTCAATGTCCAATTTTTGAAAAACTTTTTTGAATTTTGGACCCCATTTGGGATGGAAAGTAAATTTTCTATACCTTTTATCTTTGGTTTCTCCTTTCAAAGTCGTCAAGTTGTTCATCCTCACTTTCCTTTTCACCTTGTTTATGACTTGCCTGATTTCCTCCTCCTGGAAATGATTTTTCTTGGCAATACTGATGATGTTGTTTTCTTCTCTCTTTCTGTTCTCATCACTGAGAGGAATTTTCATCATACGGTATGCCATGCTCCTAAACGCTGCTGTTTTATGAACTTTAGGGTTGTGTGCATTACCTTTGATATAATTCCCTGTATCAGTAGGTTTTCTGTAAATGTCGAACTCGATCTTATTATTTGATCTATCCAATAAAAGGTCAAGAAACGGTAATTTTTGGTCTTTTTCTTCTTCTATTGTGAATTCAATAGATTCCTCGAGGTGGTTTAAATACTCTAAGGCCAAGGTTTGCTGCCCTTTCTTTATTTTGGATAGTACATCATCAACGTACCTACGCCATAACAAAAACATATCTGGCCGAAAAACTATCCTCTCGATTTCCAAGTTACTCATAAACAAGTCCGACAAAAATGGTGAGATCGGGTTCCCCATGAATAGGCCACTTACTTGTCTGTACATTTTGTTGTTAAATCTGAACGCTGTTTGACTGGTACAAATTTCTGTCAATCTTAAAAACTCTTTTACTTTTTGCTTCATTAAACCACTATTTTTTAACCACTTGCTCAACAGCTGAAGTGCTTTATCCACTGGCACACTGGGAAATAACGATTTCACGTCAAACGACACCAACACCTCATCATCTTGCACCTCCTCATTCTCCAGGGTTTTCGCTAGCTCAATCGAGTTTTTCACACTCCTTGTTTCATATGCTTCCAATGCCTTAAATCTGTTCAATAACCATTTGGATAATTTATAGAACGGGCAATCCCTGCAATTGATGATGGGCCTAATATCTTTACCCGGTTTGTGAAGTTTTGGTAGACCATACATGTAAGGAAACTGCTTGTTATCACTAGTCAAGTACTTAGCTTCATTCACTGTCATCACTGTAGTACTTTTTAACGCCTCTCGAACTTCCTTTTCGTAAGTCCGTATTGGATCTTTTTTAACTTCTTGACTTAACTAGAAAACTAGTTTATTTGAAGAAGTTAAAAAAGATCCAATACGGACTTACGAAAAGGAAGTTCGAGAGGCGTTAAAAAGTACTACAGTGATGACAGTGAATGAAGCTAAGTACTTGACTAGTGATAACAAGCAGTTTCCTTACATGTATGGTCTACCAAAACTTCACAAACCGGGTAAAGATATTAGGCCCATCATCAATTGCAGGGATTGCCCGTTCTATAAATTATCCAAATGGTTATTGAACAGATTTAAGGCATTGGAAGCATATGAAACAAGGAGTGTGAAAAACTCGATTGAGCTAGCGAAAACCCTGGAGAATGAGGAGGTGCAAGATGATGAGGTGTTGGTGTCGTTTGACGTGAAATCGTTATTTCCCAGTGTGCCAGTGGATAAAGCACTTCAGCTGTTGAGCAAGTGGTTAAAAAATAGTGGTTTAATGAAGCAAAAAGTAAAAGAGTTTTTAAGATTGACAGAAATTTGTACCAGTCAAACAGCGTTCAGATTTAACAACAAAATGTACAGACAAGTAAGTGGCCTATTCATGGGGAACCCGATCTCACCATTTTTGTCGGACTTGTTTATGAGTAACTTGGAAATCGAGAGGATAGTTTTTCGGCCAGATATGTTTTTGTTATGGCGTAGGTACGTTGATGATGTACTATCCAAAATAAAGAAAGGGCAGCAAACCTTGGCCTTAGAGTATTTAAACCACCTCGAGGAATCTATTGAATTCACAATAGAAGAAGAAAAAGACCAAAAATTACCGTTTCTTGACCTTTTATTGGATAGATCAAATAATAAGATCGAGTTCGACATTTACAGAAAACCTACTGATACAGGGAATTATATCAAAGGTAATGCACACAACCCTAAAGTTCATAAAACAGCAGCGTTTAGGAGCATGGCATACCGTATGATGAAAATTCCTCTCAGTGATGAGAACAGAAAGAGAGAAGAAAACAACATCATCAGTATTGCCAAGAAAAATCATTTCCAGGAGGAGGAAATCAGGCAAGTCATAAACAAGGTGAAAAGGAAAGTGAGGATGAACAACTTGACGACTTTGAAAGGAGAAACCAAAGATAAAAGGTATAGAAAATTTACTTTCCATCCCAAATGGGGTCCAAAATTCAAAAAAGTTTTTCAAAAATTGGACATTGAGCTAAGCTTCACAAACAATCACAATTTAATGAACAGATTTAGCAAGAAAATAGAAACAACAGAAAAAGATGACTCTGCAAAACCTGGGATATATGAAATCAACTGTAACACTTGCCACAAATGTTACGTGGGCCAAACGAAAAGATCATTGAAAATCAGGGGCCAAGAGCATGTGAGGAATATGAAAAACAGAGAAATCACACGCTCGGCGGTGGCACACCATTTTTGGTCCACAGGACACAATATTAATTTTGAACCTAGGCTCCTCAAGGAAGTAAAGGAGCAAAAACTGTTAGATGTATGGGAGAATATTTTCATTTACAAAAAGCGGAACAACAATTTCAATTTTGACGAGTCGGGCGCCACGAATGTGTTGTTCAAATTTATCGACGACAAACATGACAACCCGGCAAATTGGCGGAATGAGCTGCGAGGTAAACAAACACCTTCAGTCGCGGCTGAGGATGGGAGCTAAGCTCCCGAAACGCGTCCCGGTTATTATTTTATACAATTTTTCGCAAGTGAGTGTGTTTTATCTTTGTGTTTTTAAATAATGTTTTAAAGCATTTCTTTATGCTGGACAGTTTTTTTTCGGTGGGTAGGTATGAAGTCCGATTTTTCAGAAAATCCAAAATTGGGGCTATCTGAAGTACCTCCGGTACTGTTAAATTTTCTGTTACCTCTAATTGAATAAATTATTCTAACCTCATAAATTAAATTATTACACATTAACTAATCAATAAAATTGACTTTCAAACACTAAATCTGAGGTTTGTGTGGTTGAGCATTTATAAGTTTAACAGGGCTATCTGAACCAGTATTTTTTTTTTTTTTTTTTTTTTTTTTTTAATTTCGTGAGCTGCATGACCCTAAACGACGTTCTATGCCTGGTTTCACCTCCAAACTCATTTTAACTTACCTACCTACCTTTAGTCATATTTTAATGAAACATCACTTCATCTTTTAACGCTCTTTCATCAATGGCTAAATCAGCCCGAATTGGGTTGGTTTTTCAAAAATTCCTGGTAAAAACACAGTAACCAGGTGATAAGAGCACAAATGGACACAAAAAAGTTAAGAGAAGGCATCTAGTTCGATCCTAAGTAAAGATTTCAAACAGAGTCGAAGTCTTAAGAAGCAAAAGTCTGAAAATAAAGGAAAATTGATTTTTTTTTCTTTTTTTTTTTTTCGATTTCCGACCAGAGAACAGAATTGAGTGAAAATCGGCGTAAATATCAACAAAGGAGTAATCCTGTTGCATGACACTATTGCTGTTTGTACAAAAAAGTATATCTTCTTACTATTAGGTTTTGTCAGGCTGAAAATACAAATTCCGTTTTTCTGCAGGAATTCCCACGACTAGTTTGGATAGCCCCTTGGTTCACTTAGCTCCACACTTCCCGCCATTAACCTAATTTTTTTTCCTTCTAAAAATGGATTTAAAAATTGAAACCCTAACATGAGTAGACTTCATCAGATTTTTTTTTTACAGTTTTGATGATGTAATAGACACAAAATTTCAATTTTTTGTAGTGATGAAAATTTTCCAAAAATATTGTAATAGCGTGCAGAAAAATGTTGACTTTGTCGAAAATGAATTGAAACATACTTATGCTGTATATAGCAACTTGTCAGTTGTACTACCTCTGCTACCTACTTAAGTCAGAGATTTTTTAGCTGATTTTTTTTTTATAAAAGATGACTTCAAACTTGTATTTTTCTTAACCTTCCCTTAGTACCCTTTTAGTGGGGCCGATAAACGTAACAATCGTGCACTTCTGGAAGAAAGCATGCAAATTTCAGGGATTCATCTCTACCCTATAAAATTTCGATTCAGACATAGACCCCAAAAATCTGAGCCCCCTGGGGGGGCACAGGGGGGCCCCCAAATTTTGAATTTCGTATAACTACTGAACGGCTAATGTTAGAGTAATTTTTTTACAGCAGGGCGATGGGAAATTTTATTAGGAACAAAAATGGTTTTTTGTGAATTTTTCTGTGGGATCGATATTTAAGGCGTGAAACGGGAAAAACCATCGGGGGACGGGGAGCCGGCCGTTCTGAGGCAGATCCGCGCGCTGCGCTGCCTGCCCGGGACGCGCGCGGCGGCGGAGTACGGTGTTCCCGACGGAATAGCCGCTTGTCTCGGTTTAATCTCAACGGTGCGCAGTTTTAAAAATATTATAAATATATCGTACTACCTATAAAGCCGTAAAATAGGGCGTAATTTTTGCAGGTAATATATGTATACAAGTGAGCGCACGGCAAAAGAAGGAGAAGGAGAAGGGGCTAAGTGCTGGAGTTCGGGGATGTTTTGTTGTACGGGTTTGTCAATTTTCATTAAAACATCCGAGATAACTGTATCAGACATCAGTTGAACGGAATAAAATCTGACGCACAGTTGTCTCGCAAAGGGGGGGGGGGACTAAAAATCACAAATCTTTGTTGTTAACCACAATGACCTGAAAAATTATTTTAAAGTGTTTTTTTTCTCTCTCTCTCTCTTTCTCGGTGCTGCGCCACCAGAATGATATCTAAATATGCTTACATACCCTAAAGTTCCCTGGAGACGGCTTCTAGCCAGACTTGTAAGACAGGGAAACTAATTTTGTAAAAAATGAGTATACATAAAAACATGCTTATTCTCCTCTCTTTAAGGAACATATTGGTACTTCATTGCTTCGTATAGGCATTTTTTAAGAGGACTAAAACCACCTTCAAAACTTGCTCCGAAAAAACGCCAAAAGAACCTTGAGACAGCTTGATAGGGATAAAAGACCCCCAAAAAACATTCGTTGGACTGCGTCCTGTACAGTACAAAGAATATTATTAAGTAATAAATAGCCGCCAGTATCTGCTAATCTGCAAAAACGGTCCATTTGAGTGATAGGAAGTCGCGCCTACTGGGGACCTATCCTGTTCTTATGTCATCAATTAAATCGCGCGTCATTCGGTATCCCGCAATCTCGGTAATTTTGCAACTGATTACTGATTACTGATTTTGACTGATTTGTTGATATTTTGACGAGAAATTAACCTTTTGATAATCTCTAAAGCTAATTCGATCAGTGTTATACTGTACGATAAAGTTCAAGGTGTACGTTTTGTGCACTGCATATTTTGCAAGTCCCGTTTCTTGACAATTTTCTCCGACATACTTACAAATCAAAAATCGGTTCGAGATTTGGTGGGTTGAAAAAGAAGAAATGCAATGAATTTCTTCCTGACGTACTGGTCCTTCTCAAAGTTCTTTAAAGGATCAGAACCTGCATGATTAATAAATTTCCTCCTACATTAATATTTTTTTCAATACAAATGTTACCAACTCCACTCCAAACTCTGCAGAATAAAATGAAAGATAATATATATGGATTTTTTTTTACTACTCATTCCATTTTTTATGTCTCGTGGAAAGTACCAATAATATCTTCAAGTGTGACTCGATAAAAAGAAGCGATGGGATTCAGATGTCTTCTTTTAGTGTATTTTCCGAAGGAAATACACTATTTTATTATTCATTATAATATATTGTTCTATTTTTTGAAATATGCATATTTGTTGAATAACTGAAAGAGTGGGGAGTTCATGAAAATGAAAACTTCTATTGACTGGCTGGAGGAAAAAAGAGGAGAAAAGAACATTGTCGGAATGTTTCGTATGTAACCTCTGCAATGCGAGAACCAATTAACATGAACGAAAAACGATATTGGAGGAAAATGAAGGAGATCTGGAAACCTTGGTGGCGAAGGGAATGTGAAGCCCCCCTCTTTACTCCTCAAGTAATGTCTTAGCATCAGTTTTGCAAAATTCTTGCTTATGTAAGCAGCTTATGGTCCCATTCGCCGACAATAACGTGGAAAATAAAAACAAAAAATAAGTTATCAAGGATCCGCCATTTCCAATAGTCATTAAAAAGTAGGTCAAAATCGTATATTTAAACTTGTTATTTCGCTCTAATATCTTAAAAGATGTAATCCTTTACAAAACTCACGTGAGGAAAGGGTAATACACTCTGTACTGAGATCGGAAAAGCTCTGTATTCAGAGAAAACAAGACGCGTGATGCGCGATGACCGACCCTTCTTATTGACTCGGCGCTTTCGCATTGGAGTATTTCGCCTTTTGCTTGATTTTATGTGTTACTAATAAAAAGTAGGGCTTATATCACAATGGAAAAGTATTTAGGCAGTACAGTAAATTCATAATTATTTTTAAAACTGCGCACCGTTGAGATTAAACCGAGACAAGCGGCTATTCCGTCGGGAACACCGTACTCCGCCGCCGCGCGCGTCCCGGGCAGGCAGCGCAGCGCGCGGATCTGCCTCAGAACGGCCGGCTCCCCGTCCCCCGATGGTTTTTCCCGTTTCACGCCTTAAATATCGATCCCACAGAAAAATTCATAAAAAACCATTTTTGTTCCTAATAAAATTTCCCATCGCCCTGCTGTAAAAAAATTACTCTAACATTAGCCGTTCAGTAGTTATACGAAATTCAAAATTTGGGGGCCCCCCTGTGCCCCCCCAGGGGGCTCAGATTTTTGGGGTCTATGTCTGAATCGAAATTTTATAGGGTAGAGATGAATCCCTGAAATTTTCATGCTTTCTTCCAGAAGTGCACGATTGTTATGATATTTTCCACTTATCGGCCCCACTATTTAGTTCACAAGTACCTAAGAATAGTCGAATATGTTAAAATAAAGCTCAACTTTTGTAAAACTAATTATAAATATTCCTTTTGTTTCTGCCCGCAATCACCACATAGTTAAGAGTACCCCAGTATTCCCTAAAATATTTACCCTTATACCCTAAATTCACAGGATATAAACGAAGTATACGTAACCGTTATACAGGGTGATCCAGACCACCCGTCCACTATCTTTTTCTCGAAAACGGCGGAGAATTGAGCTTCGGGACCAAAACTATCCTGGGTAAATCGACCCCAAAGAATCGAATGAAAATATTTTCAGCCCCCCAAAAAATGACCCCTTGGGGGGGTTTTTGGGGAGGAGCCCCCCCGTTTCTCGCAATTTTCAAATGGGAAGGGTATGTTTTGACTTTGGATTCGGAATCTACGGTAAAAAATAAGAACATTTTGTTCTTTGCACTTTTTCCCTAAACCCCCATTTTTTGGAGTTATGGGGCATTTTTGGGGCAATTTTCAATTCGACGCTGTAAGCGGCCAAATCATCCAAATTTCAAAATCTAAAAATCTCCTGAGAGGTGAGGTCAATACCTTTTTATTGATGTGCCACAGGACCCCTAATGCTCCAAAATTTTGGGGGCCACGACCCCCCAAAAATGGGGCTTTGGAGGGCCATGAGTCAAAAATGTCGAAAGGCAAGGGTATGTTTTGACTTCAGATTTGGATCCTACGCGAAAAGTTACGTAGAATTGATATGGCGCCTGTTTGCTCCAAATTACTGAAGAGCCCCATTTCCCCATAAGAAGCCGTGTATTTTTTGGACAAAATAAGGGGTAAAAAAAAATGGAGCAAACAGGCCATGCGCCATATCAATTCTACGTAACTTTTCGCGTAGAATCCAAATCTGAAGTCAAAACATACCCTTGCCTTTCGACATTTTTGACTCATGGCCCTCCAAAGCCCCAAAATTTTGGAGCAACAGGGGTCATGTGGTACATCAATAAAAAGGTATTGACCTTTCCTCTCAGGAGATTTTTAGATTTTGAAATTTGGATGATTTGGCCGCTTACAGCGTCGAATTGAAAATTGCCCCAAAAATGCCCCATAACTCCAAAAAAGGGGGTTTAGGGAAAAAGTGCAAAGAACAAAATGTTCTTATTTTTTACCGTAGATTCCGAATCCAAAGTTAAAACATACCCTTCCCATTTGAAAATTGCGAGAAACGGGGGGGGGGCTCCCCCCAAAACCCCCCAAGGGATCATTTTGGGGGGCTGAAAATATTTTCATTCGATTCTTTGGGGTCGATTTACCTTAGATAGTTTTGGTCCCGAAGCTCAATTCTCCGCCGTTTTCGAGAGAAAGATAGTGGACGGGTGGTCTGGATCACCCGTATAAAGAGCGTATTTATACAGGGTTATCCAAAAGTCACTGACCACCCCTGTAACTTTTTTCCAAATTGAGATAGAGGTTTGAAACTTTGGGAATGTTCCTCGGTCTAAGGTAGCAACTTTTTGGTCCCCCCAAAATTTTGTGGGGCGGCCCCCCTCAAGGGGAGCGGGGGCTAACTTTTTTTTTTCAAATGGCAACCCCCCCCCCTTTGTGATGCCTCATTCGAAAGATAAT